ATGTTGGTTTATTTTTTTTAAGCATTATTAAGGGGGACCAAACAATCAAACATTTTTCAAGCAAGCATTTTCTGGTGTCTCTCCCCCTCGACACCGCATCATTGTAATCATCATTTTCAGTCATCAATAAAATCATCATCATCATTCAAAACCCAATTCTCTCTCAGCTTCCGCAATTGCTCACGACATTGGTTTTCCCACACGGCACTGACAATCTAGTCTGGCGTGCGGAGGGGACCTCATTGGCGGACAACAACCGCACTAACATCGGTTACTTAGCCTTACGTTGCCCTTCCAAAGATCATCAGGAAGGCGTTGCGTAACACCAAGCATGAGGTAAGTGGTTTATACTAGTTTTGAGTTAAGTACATGATTATATATGGATTTTAACATGGAAATTTGTATAGATTATGGGGTTTTTGGTAGATGACCTAGAATTTTGTATTTTTGATTTTGACCACGAATTTGGGCATGAAATTGGAAACAAAATATATATTTGAGTTCTTAAAGTTGTGGGTAATCATTATCTTCGAAAAATTTCGGAATCCAGGCACGTGGGCCTGAGGGTGATTTGGTCAGCTTTTCGAGCGGAGTTGGGAATTGAGATAAATTAAATTGTTGTGAGTATTTGAGCATATATTAATGGGTTTGCATCATTGTTGGTTAGTTTTGGAGCATTGGGCATCGGTTTGAGTCGTCGGAAGGGATTGGAAGCTGATTATGGAACTTCAGAGCAAGGTAAGTCTCTTTTCTAACCTTGTAAAGGGGAATTGTCCCCATAGATGACCTAATTGGATATGTGCTTCTATTTGTAGGGGCTACCTACGCACGAGGTGATGAGAGTCCGTGCGTAGCTACAATTATGCTTAAGTCCGGGTAGTCTAGGACCCAAAAGTATGTTTTACTTGAAATAATTGTAACCTTATTGACAATTTAAATTACTTAAATCATATCGAAGTGGCGAATGATTTTTCTGAAAGAGTTAAACTTCGTTTTCTTGACTTGTAAAAGAGAAATTGACACCTCCTTGAATAATTGTTTCCCTGATGAAGTCTTGATTGATTGTTTGAATGTGTGTTTCTATGTATACTTGCGTCGCATGAATGATTCACGAGCGGGGTGATTCTTTATTTATATTTGACCGCGTTGCATGTATGATTCACGAGCGGGGTAATAGATGCATCTATAGTTCGCGCCATTTGACCCTCTGGCAGTGCATATTTTATTATTATGTTGGATCGGGTCGTACGACCTCGGCATAATTTGCGCATTCTTGTATTGCTTGCCTTGAGATTTATAAATTATGATATCGCCACTCCGGCCTGAGATAAATTGGTAAATGATGAACTATGAACTTGGAAATCTCCTATTATCAAACAGATTGTTTACTTGCTTCGTGATTCCCTTGAGTTCACTGTTATTTTAGTTAACTCACTACCGATTTATATTATTAGACCACTAGTAAGTGTCAAAGTCAACCTCTCGTCACTACTTCTTCGAGGTTGGACGGGATACTTAGTGGGTACACGTTGTTTTTGTACTCATACTACACTTGATGTGCATTTTTGTTGCACCAGCACATGTATATCTAGTGGCCTAGTTTGCCGCAACAACATGGTTGATACAGAGACTTAGATGAGCTGCACCTCTCGAGACGACCCGCAACCAGCAGAGTCTCCTTCAGAGTATTGTATTGTATTTTCTCTACTGTCCAATTTGTATTCCGAATGGTTATTGTATTACATTTGTTTCCTAAAAATTGCTCATGCAATTGTGACACCGGGTTCTGGGATAATTATGGGATTTATTCAGTATTTGAAAATTTTAAAGACATCATTATTTACTCAGTGAAGCTCATTATTTATTATTTAATGTAATGAAAAGAAAATGATTTCAAAAACACTAAAATAAGAATTTAATTAACTTCTTAGTGTTGGCTTGTCTGACAGTGATGTCCGACGCCATCACGACCCTTAGTGGATTTTGAGTCGTGACATTCAAAAAAGGGTTTTAAGTATCAAATTACGAATAAGGACATGAATAAATTTACTTAATAGTTAATATTATAAGTAAATAAATAATCTGAAAAAATTATTTATTACAGACAATAATTAAATCTTTTTATTTTATTTAAGTAAAATATGAAAATAAAACTAAAAAGTACTTTAATTCTTTTAATATTATTTAAATATATTAAAAATCTTTCAACCCTAAAGTCACTATATATTAGAAATCTATCCTAAAAATAAGAAGAAATATTTGTACATTAATATTCTAAATATTAAGTTTAATAGTTATATTGGTATATATTATATTTTGTTAAGGGTATTTTTGGTAAGAAGAAAAGTCAAAATTGTTTCTACTTTAGGAAGAAATTACTTTTTTCTACTTCTCAGAAAATGCTTCTGCTTCTTCCCAAAAGCATTATTTTCCTCAAAAAAATTTGGCCAAATACCTTAAATTAAGAAGAAAAAAAGTACTTTTGGGAAAGAAAAAAAAATACTTTTGGCCTTTGGAGAAGGTTTGCCAAACATGCTATAAGTTTGCGCCCAGCAAGAAGGAAAAAGTAATTAATGTTTCTTTTCATGGAAGTCCAATACATCATAGTTTCTTTATTTTTTCTCTACATCCAATATTAGCCATCAACAATATCGGATTTCTCATAATTAATTCTTTTCAAGCTTCAAAAATTACTAATTGTCTTACTGTGCGCCTCCATTTTCTTAGTATATAGTACCCACACGTACTAAATTTATTGAAGTTACAACTTTAATAACCATTAACACGGGCACTTTAGTAAAATACTCCTAAAAGAAATTGATTTCTTAGAAGGGTACTTTAGATGTTCATTTATGAGCTGATTCCTTAGATAGTCACTTAACTTATGAAATTAACTCATCAAAGTAATTTTTTTTGATAATAAAATTATTCAACTGTTACTTTTTGACCCACAAAATAAAAAAGAACTCATTTAGCATGCCATATTACATTAAAACCCTATTTTTAATGATAAAATTTATTTAAGACATGTTCTTGTAGCTATCTAACCCATCTTGTCACACTAAACTAGAAGTGTGCGTATTTTTTGGCTTTAATTGAAAAGATCGACCCTGATCGAAATTTTTTATTATTTTGTCCATTTTCAGAATTTCATTTGTCCTTTTTCAGTATAAGCATTGTAGGGAGAAAATTCAACAACTAGAGGCAGCATCTCTAGTCCTAATATTGTCCATTTGCAATCTTTAATCTGTTTCACAACACAAAATTATGTCAATGGTCGTGATGATACTTAACCTCAGTTGGCTAGGTAGGCCAACAATCATAACCAACTAAAGCAAGACAAACAAGAATAATTCGCTGTCAAGATATAGATAAAACATAAATAAGTCTCAAACTGTCAACCAAATGCGAAATACAATAATAATCTCTCAAAATCCAGCAGTACGAAATCATGAGCAACTAAATACAGTACATCTAAGTCTCAAAACATAACAATACAGCCTGAATCAAACAACGGCAAAATAGATAAGAAGGGGACTCCTTAAGCTGTAAATCAAGAATGGCAGCTCACCACTAAGTCTCCAATGAACCATTAAACGCCCTCCTGAATACCACTAGGTCCAGTCAGAGGCGGACCCAGAATTTGAGCGCAATGAGGACACCACTATATGCTATACTAGTGATAAAATTCGACATGCACTTAGAGGGAGGAAACTAAGTAAAACAAAAAGAATAAGTAAAAGCTAAACATGAGTTTCGAATCCACATCAACCACTAAAGAGAGGAAACTAAAAAACTCTACTCAACTGTTCCTCCAGTCAAGCTTTTGTGTTTGGGTGCACACATAAACTATTTAAGGGGTCCCAATTGTATTTATAAATATATATATATACATAATTTCTGTCGAAACTAACGGGGTCCTGTGACCCCTCAAGAGGCAAGGTAGGCCTGCCTCTGGATTCAGTACAAAGATATATATAAAAATATACAAAAGTATAGTATGATTATAAAAATAACATATACTCAGTAAGTATCGAGTCTAATCTCGAAGTAGTAGTAGAGAGATTTTGACAAAAGTATGATACTCACCTTCACAATACGAATAATTCATAACAACATGAAATCACAAAATTAACCAAGAACAATAAATATAACTGTCACGACCTCAATTCTACATAGTCGTGATGTCACTTAACCCAACTCGCTAGGCAAATCAAAAAGTAAGAGTTATTACTATAATGAGAAATTATTAATATATTAATAAAACTGTGAAAGAATTCAATTCAACTTTTCCAATGACTGGTAGTACAAGTTATATGCCACTAAGATTTGGATTTACAAAGCTGGTACGAAAATAAATACAGCATCTGTTTGGAATATACATGAACAAAATACAAATCCAAAGCTATCAAGGACAAGTGGTAGTTATATCCGGAAAGCGGGTACATCTTCAATGCCAACTTCCATCATCCACGGTAGCTCAGCTCCAAGATCTGCACGTAAGGTGTATAAGTTTAGTATGAGTACAACCAACCACATATACTACGTAAGTATTCTGATTAACCTCGGTGAAGTAGTGACGATGTCTCGGGTCATGGATACACACACTCTC